ATACTTTATTACAAAAAACACCCTAGGAAACAAATGCACACCCTATGTCGCTATCACACTGAACAGTCATCCCCTCCTTTTAGAGCTTTGCTTATACTTTTCTCAGCTTAGAGTGTTATCCACATCTTCCCCTAACCTCTCTCCTTTGCCTGGCAAAGGGAAGACTTGTTTCTAGTATTTTTTTCCTGGCTTAATCTTGCCTGCCTTTCCTTTTGTCTCAGGAAGTTGACTGCATGGACCCTCATTGGCCCATTGTAAAGTGGACTAATACCCTGTATTATAATTACCAACTCTCTCTCAATATACTATGAGATTTTTGAGAGCAGAGAGCACATCTTACTCATGTTTATATTTCCAGTGCCCAGTAAGAATGAGTATGCAGTGTGCTGAGTTCACGTGGTCTAAATCAATACATCGTATAGAAGGTACATGGCATGCTGGACACATTTTGGAATGATTCTGGAGTTGGGCAGCTCAGATCTAGTTTAAAATTCAGACTTCACCATTTATTAGCTACTGGATAATCTTGGGCAAGTTGCATAACCTCTCTGAGCCTCAGTAGCCTCATCTATAAAATAGGGATAGTAGTTTCTTTCTGATGGGTTATGAGAAATTGATGAAGTATCATATGGGATTGTGTACATACACATGGTAGGCCCTTTAGCAAATGTGTGTGTGTGTATATATATATATATATATATTTAATATACAATTACCATTTTTTGTGGGACCTATAGATGAGATTATAAAAGATAAAGTTAGTGTAAATATCTAGAAATAAAAGGCCGATTATTATAAAATTTATTTTTTTTTGAAATGAGATATACTTTATTCACCATTTACAAGGAGGATCATATAGAATCTTTGAATTTTCACTAAATAACCACAATCTTGTCATTTTGACAAGCTCTGAGGATCTTGCTTCATTTATTTACAGGGAATAATTTAATTTTTGGCAACCCTAAAAGTGAAAAAAGGAAAACAAGGAGGAGGGAGAAAAAATATCCAGAAATGAAGAACAGAGGGAGATAATCTGACTCCTGACAGGTCTCTGCCAACATCTAGTTCCCTAATGACTCAAATTTTTTTCCTAGGAAGAGATGCTAATTCAGTCCATAATTATTCTGTCTTTGAACATTTATGAACAGAAGTGAACATTGAGGAAGGGGCCACACTGTAGTTCAAGCCCAGAGCCCTAGGCTCCAGGTCCCCGGGGAACCCTGCTAGCACACAGTGTGAACAGGAATGAAGGCAGGGGAGTTCTGTCAAGATTTCTAACCCAACACCAAGCCTCTCCCCAGCTGCTCCAAACTGGTTCCAAAAGGAGCCTTATTGTTTCTCCGGTGAACACACAAAGCAAAAGGCAGCAAAACAAACACATCAACCCTGTCCCTTCAGAGATCTTGTAAACCACTTACATCTGTTATCATCTCTGTATCTAGCAATTTCCTGGAAACAGAGTGCATTTGTTTTCTTAAATGTTGTAACTTGTCAATCATAAGTGATGATCCTGAGACCATTAAACTGAGCTCCATTAGAACTGACATGCTTTTATAGAACATCACTGCCTCAAAGCAGGATAAATGGGGCTCAAGATGAGCATAATAGTCCTTTATTTTAAAGTTCAGATCTCCAAAGCAGAAGCACATGGATACAAATAGTACCTGATTCTAGCAGTACAGGAGCTAAGACTGCTCAGTTTAACTCTAGGCTTTGCCACGTTCTAGCTGCTGCCTCAGTTTCCTTATCTATCCCATGAGGATATTAATAGTATCTTCCTTAAAGGTTGCTGTAGAGGTTAAATGAGATGATATACATACACCACTTAGGGCACTGTTCAGCACATAGTAATTCCTCAATAAATATATGCTAGTGTTATAACTGTTAGCATTGCTGGCTATTTTAGATTTCTGCAAAAGGCATATCCCTATCTACAAAGAAACATCTGGGGTAAATCATTCTTTTTCTCAAACTAGCACATTTCTGGGAATAATACAGGGTGTAAGCAATGAATTGTCAACTAAAAGAAAGCAATTCAGAAGGTGAATTATTCCAGACTTGCCTTGCCTGGAGTGGCCCTAAAATGTTCCCTTGTGCCCAAAGTTTATTATAGAACATCTATCAGAATCTGACTGAGTATACGCCAAAGCACAAGGGCTGTCAAATCTCCAATCCACCCACTTGCAACCTCAGAAGCTTCTCAACTCCAGGCTCTGGGCAGCCAGCACCAATCAGCTGAGATTGGCAAGGAAATAAAAGAAAACCTATTTGTCATCTGCAGCATAAAACACGACAATTTTCAAAGAAGGGATGCAATCCTTTTTATAATGGTGGTACCGGGGACAGTAACAACCTCTGCCTTATAGACACATGTTATCATACCAAAATTTACTTCTATACAGCCTCAGGAGGTAAATTGTGAGAGAAGAAATGGCTATTTCAGTGAAAGTATATCTAAAATAGGTGAAATACTGAAGTGAGTAGGGGAGTTTTGCGTTTTAGTTCTTCCAGAATACCACCAGGTTACCACTCTTTATACCAGAAAGCATTAACTCATTACACGGCAGATTAGTAACTCAGGCGGAGTTTCCACATGAGCATACCAGTATTCCAGGAATAATAATAATGATAGTAATAATCCCTTCATCCTTTGGGACTTCTGGGGCTAGGGTGCTTGGGGCAGTTCTATCCTTGGCCATGAGCAGGATCTTCCTTGTATATCAGTATGTTGTGCAAATATTTTCATTTTTTATGTGTGCCATGACCTGAAAATGTTTGGGGACCACTGGCTTAAGAAATGAATATTATTTTCCCAAGTCCCCTCACCATGGAAAAGTTTAAGCACTGGATGGTTTATCCTCATCACGGTTACTGACACTAAAAGGTTCTAGAAAAACAGATACATATTCTTGATCTGAGAGCTCAGACCTGTGACCAAATTCTTCTAGGGGTAGTTTCTGTTGTTTGCAAGGGACAGAGACACATGAAGGATAGTGCAAATAGTGAGGGAGGGAAGAAGAGAAAGAAAGATTGAAATTGACCAGCAGGTAGAAGTACAGACCAGGAAGAACTACGAGAAGGCTGAAGTTATAAGAATCAGAACGTAGAAATAGGCAGAAGCAACAAACTAGAGGCAACAATATGGAACAGAAGATGCAGGAGCCAACTGGGGGATGCAAGACAATCCACCAAAGAGAAGCAAAGGCAGAAAATAGCCAAGACATACTATTCGTGGAGTTATCAGGATGAAGACCCAGGCTTTCCTATGGCTGAGATCTCTCAAGCTGCGGGTTTCCATATCTTATCTCTGAATAGGCCCAGTCTCTATTCCTATAGGATTCTTGACTCCCTTGATGGACTTTGTGAAAATCCTGATAACTCCACTCCTCCTGTCCTTGGTACATCTTTCCGTGTCAGTTCCTGCTGGCAACTCCCTGTCCCCCTTCACATTTCCCAGTCTACATTCTTGAGAATAATAATCTGGGTGGCCCTCCCAGTCCCCGTCTGGGCCTTCCCCCAGGCCACTCACTGGCCTGTGGTTTGACTGGTCTTGGGTCAAATGCTTACTGGCTGAGAGGGGCTGGAGTCACAGGGCTCAAAACATGTCCTTTCAACAGAGCTGTGGTGAGAGGGAAAAATTTCCTTTGATGCTCCTTAGGTAGAAAAGACAGCATATCTAGAATAAGCCTCCTCAAGAGAACAAGGTTTTATAGTTCCACTTGCCAAAAAAAGACCACTTAAATGCATTCATTATATCATAAACAAATCCTTTTGTTAATTTCCTTCTCTTTTCCTTTCTCTTCTCTTTTTTCTCCTTTCCGCCCATCCATTCATCCATCCATCTATTCATCCATCCATCAAATCTGTAACATGGCATCTGTCTCCTGAAGAAATGTATGAGGTTTCTGATGATCATAAAGGTCCTTGAGGACCAAAAACCTACTAGGTGAGATAAGTTGTGTATACAAATAATTATAAGTGCCCTAAGAATGACATAAACCAAATGCTTTGGAAGAAGCTCAAAGGAAGAAGACATCTTCCAGCTGGAGCAGATGACATTTCAGCTAGGGCCTGAGAAATGAGGAAGATTCTAATATTCATAAAAGACATAACAAACAAGATGAGCCTAAGACTAAAGTTAGTAGAGTTTTGTAACATCAAAAATTCAGAGTTCGGCATTTTAAGTTATAGGAGAAATGTATAATGGTTATAAAAAATTCAAACCAAACTGAAAATACATAGCAAAAAGTCTGGCTCACATCATTAGTCACTTATTCTTCCACGAATCCTCTTCTCCAAAAGTGACTGCCATTCATTTTTTATTATGAATTTGTCCAGATATTTTTCTACACCATTAAAATAAAGCTTTATAATTATTTGACTATGTATCTGTTATTAAACCCACTTAACAAAGAGGTGGGTAAAGAAACTTGCTAAAAGTTACATAGCCTAGTAAGTGAAGGAGTTGAGATTTCAATCAAGTCCTGTTGCTTCCAAAGATTTGAATGTTTCCATCACATTTTCTATCACGCCTAATGGGGATATTAGCTTGAACTGGTATCAAAAGACTCAATTCAGTCCTGTGAGTGGCTCTCATTTTTAGGAGTCATTTTTCTCAGAGTTGGAAGAAAGCCAAAGGCAGACACTCATATGTTAACCACTCGCAATAGAAAGTCTATATATACTGAGATGGGTATTTGGTTTTCCTCTGACCTTTTGTTGTACTATGAGCTTTATTTTTGTCTCCAGCAGAAGGTAAATTTTACTCTAATAATAGAGCACTGATGAAATTGTTGAAGGTTTAGGAGAAGTCATGTTTCCCCTCTATAACATCACTTAAAATAAACCAAATAAATTATTTGCCAACTTGTTGCTAATAGAATAGCCAACTCAATTTATTTAAGCTTCTTCTTTTCACATCAAAAAAAATAAGACTTCAAAAGGAACAGATCACAGAGCACATACAGAGGACTCAAGTTTTATGGTCAAGGAACACTTACCCCAGACTGCCATGAAAACAGCAAAGAAGACAGTGGCTCCATTGTCAAAAAGGTGGGTTACCTGGGAATAACATGAATCAGCATTGAGCTAATTTCTCATATATGGTATTCCAGTTCAGATTCTTTTTTCAAGTTCTATAAAAATGGCTGTGATGATACAATGAGTTTTATAGGGTTTCTTTGGGGTATATTCTTTTTGAATTGTAAGAAGTAGGTTCCTTTGACTGTGAAGTAGCTCATATGTGGAAGAGAGAATTTGTTCCCTGTGAGTAGCATCTAGTTGAACAATTATCAGCAACCCCAATAGTGCTCCTAAGAATTCCCTTTTGTGACCTACAAAAAAACCCCAAAACTCTTATGCATGTACATATGTACACAGATATAGTTATATGTAGGACCAGGAAGATACCATTGTTGTACTTTAAAGGTTTCCAGCTTCCCAAGCACTGTTTTTCATGCCTCATGTATTCGCCTTGAAAATATGGCTATTTTGTTTGTGTAGTTTTGAGCAAACATTTTCTGGGCTGCCCTGTGGATTTCAGCGTTATAAAAAAGAAGGAGCAGAACCATTAAGCAAATCCACTTCCACCTTTATTAAAGCCTCGGGTAATCACCACATTTACCCACTGCACATAACACAAAGACAGCTAGCAATACTTTATTGCTAGAATAATATATTCTATTGCAAACACCACGGCAGAAGGCAAAAATATCCATTCTTACTGCGAAACTGCCAAGCTCATTTTTGCCTCTAGTATAAATCATGCCACTGTTCATGACACATTGAAATGATGACTGATAGGTTCATAAGGCATAACTGTTTTTTTTTTGGTATTTTATAGCTCCCTATAAAGTATACTGTCCCTTGGAGAATGTGCCAAGTATAAACAAGGTTTTTTTTCTTGTTTTATCAGAGTGTGAAGTATTTCAGATTATTCCCAAAGTTTATGCCTTCTCTTTCTTTGAACATAGGAGAGGTGGGCAGCATGGGACGAATGTCTGAAGCCTATTTCATGTGCTAGAGGGAGTGTTAAGCTGTATATTGGGCACTCGGTACCAAATCAAGCTTGAAAGTTCCAGTGGTGTGTGGTTGGTTTGTGCTCTCTGTCAGGGTATCTACTGGGAGTTGCTGGAAGTTTTAGCTTGCACCATCAGTGGCCGTTCCAGAATGGATTGTGGTTGTCATTTTTGCCTGCCCAGATCATCTTTTCTCCATTCTCCTTTCTCCAGGTAACAGGTCTCTCCCATCCTGGTCCCTAGGGACACACAGCTCAAAAGAGAATCAGAGTACTCCCCTGGGGCCAATAGGTAAACCTTTGGAGAAAGAGTGTCCTGCTGCAGTTATCAATCTGGGAGCATGTGAATTAAGAGGAGTGAGGTGATAAGGGCTTCTGGTTCCTAACGAGATGATGAGCTAGCTTAGGCTGATGGCGCCTTTGTCAAAATCAACCGTGGAGAAGCAAGATGGTAGATTCCAGGAATTAATAACATGCAAAGACAAATAAAAAACAAAGACTCTGAGAAAACCCCAGGGAGACAGAAGGTTGCCTTGAACTGGTATGTGTGTCGTATGTGTGTGTGTGTGTGTGTGTGTGTGTGTATGTGGGGTGGGCGTGGGTGGGTGTATGTGATGGTGGTGGTGTGTGAGAGATAGGTGGCAGATCCCAAGCAGAGGGAGAGAACAGGATAGAGAAATACATAAGTTCCACTCTAGACTCTCTCCCAGACAATATTTGACAGTTAGTTTCCCCTCCCTCTGAAATCAGCTACAGCAGGTGCTGGTGTTCTTGGAACAGCATCAGAAATGCTCAAAGTCCTGCTTGGTTGAGAAATTGATGAAAGTAGCTGCTGCCCTGGGGCATCCCCTCCTCAGTAGATTCCCTCTAAACCCCAGGGCTGGTACATTACAAAGGAGAGGGCCTCCTCCCAATTCTGTTTTGTTCTAAACAGATTTAAAAATAAAACTCTGACCAGAACAGTCCTCTGGTAGAGTGACAGCACACATTGGTGCCTGGGCACACTGTCCTCCCCTTCCTGTAACTCACCAGGATGACAGACTTGGGGCCAATTTCTGACCCTTACTCAAGCAGTTGACACCTCCAGGGGACAGGCACCCATGGTCCAAAGTAATGAAATACATGGGGAAGACAACAACCACCCGCCCTCCAAAATCCCCAAAACTAGACAACGTACACCTTCTGAAACAGATATTCTGTAATAGCTGACCAAGAATTTAAAATATTCACAAAAATATGCTGAAGGAGATAAAGGAAGGAAGACACAAGTCTGGAGCCAAGGCAGTTGGCAGCCACTTTCTCCTTGTTGGAGAAAACCTGTCTGCAGATGATCACACGGGCAGAGAGAGACCAGTTCTAGGCTGGAAGGCCTCTCACTCACATAGTGTGAGCTACTCCAGTATCTGCTCCAAGGAAATGTGCTGTTAAGTCTCTTTCTGCCTAAGCCAGCTGGAGTTGGGTTTCTCTGACTCTTGCAAATGCAAGTTCAAGGATAAAGCACCCTTGATCAACAGAACGGCTGCTGATTTGACTGGATCCAGGCTCCAATTTGATCCGATATTCTTGTGTATCCATAATCCCTTGAAATCACTCTGACATTTCAAATAAATATTTCTAAAGGAAACCCTGTATAGCTCCAATTCTGTCATTCTGAGGCTTTTTATCCTTCATTTCACTAAGTTCCTAAGTGAGAGCAAATGTTAAATTCGGAATCTAAACATCTTGTAGCTCAGTATGGCACAGGAGTAAAGAAGACATGCTTTGCAGTCCAATAAGCCAAGGCCCAGCTACTCATTGCCGTGTGACCATGGATGAGTAATTTTTACCTCTCTGAGTCTCTGAGTAAAATGGGAACATTAACATTTATCTTGAAGTTGCTGTGAGAATTAGAAATAATAAAGCTAGGTTGCCAAGCTATTATTATAGTTATAACTATCATAACTATTATCGTTCTATAATAGATCTTACGTTAGGGAGGATAACTGCCAAAATAAGTCCCTATAAAATATAAGCACTCTAAACTATTTATGATGATCTCTTTAAAGAGTTATCAAGGATATCCTAAAAAGAGAACTTCACTCAGGTATATCTTCATTCATTTAAAAAAAAACACCATAAAAAACCCAGTAAAACGCACACACACACTCAAAACCACAAAAAACAAACAAACAAAAAGAAACCTGGGCTTCTGCTTCTAGGAATTCCCCAAAGCAGAATTTTTAAACCTGAGACATTTAGGCTTTATCTCATGACCTTTAAACCAACTGATATCACTGATAAAACTCTTGATTCTTACCAAATCTCTACTTTCCAAGGTCACTCTGTTAAATTTGTCCTCATCTACGTGGGTCTATCTGTGTGTTCTCCAAAGATAGGGAGAGAATTTTATGCTTTTTTGGTCCCTTGCAACATATACTAAGAGCCAGAATCTTTCTAAAATCACAGCTCACTGCTGCGGTTTGGGCTCCTCCCACACAGACCCGCCACCTGCAGTACTGAGACATTATAGACAGGTCAGATCCTGGGTTGCCGAGCAAATGTTCTCTCATTTAAAATGAACAAAACTCTGCAATGCCAGCAGGGTAATTAGATAGATCCAGGCTGCAGTGATTGTAAAGGTTCAGTAAAATCTGCCAACCCCTTGCATATCTGGAATCTGGGGGAGCTGACAGGTCTTGGAAAAGTCTTCATTAATTCAAACTCTAGCTCATGTTTCAAGTTAGTGACAACACCATGAAGTAAAAAATCCCTAGCCATTTGATGAACATGTCTAATGTTTTAACAAAGTAACGCATACCATGAGAAAGGGACATGCAATAACATATTATAGAAATAATAGTGCCATGTATTTTTTTCCAAAGCACTTTTACATACACTCTCTTCTTTAGTCCTCATGATATGCCAATAGGGCAGGACAAAGAGTACCTGTATTTTAGAGATGAGAAAGCTCACTCTCAGAAAGGCTACACCTGCTCAAGGTCAAGCAGGTAAGCAGCTCAGCTAGCCTTGAAATTGAGGTCACTTTGACAATAAAGGTGACAAAGAGGAGGAAAATGATGGCAGCCGTCATTTACTGAGATCTTATGATTTGCTAAGCACTGTACTTGGTATACATCTTATCTCACTTCTAACAACAACCACGTGAAACAAGTATCATGTTCTCCATTTTACAGATGAGAAAACTGAGGCTCAGGGAGGTTAAATAACTTGTTCCCGGATAAACAAGTGGTAAAGAGCAGAGCTGAAGTTTGAACCTAACTTTCTCTGACTCTAGCAACTGTGCCCTTTGCACTGTGCCATGCTGCAGCTTGTGATGGTGTCTAGAGCCATACGTTTAAATATGTGTACATTAAACAAGATATCTGAGTTAGAATAGGGAATGATGGAGATACATCTATCCTACAGCATTAACTTGAGAATCAAAGATTAGAAATGATAGAATATAGTTACCCACCATCCCCCAGCAAGGTGTATGTTAAATTTAATCCACCTAAAATGCTGCATGTCTGAAATTACCTTGGCATAAACACAGCTGTCTGATAGCCTCATGAATGGACAGTATTTATCACACACAGGACACATGATGATGTCTGTAGCTTGGCAGACTTCTTTACTGGAAAAGAGAACAGAGAAGGACTGCTTCTTGATGACAGGGAACACTGTTTTCCCCTCTAACTTCACCAGAATGTTCAACTAGTAAATAAGATCCAGTAGATTGAATTTTTGTCCTCAGATGCTTCTTAGCCTTGTCTGTTATTAATGTAAACAAATTCCTATACATTTTAATACTTTGATAAACCTATTTATTTATGAGGCTTTCCTCAGCTTCACATAGTAGTAAGTTAAGCTTAGACAAATATATAAAGCAAAACATTGGTCGTTATACCCCAGATTATACAAAAGTCCTTCACAACATTTCATAGATCTGAAGCAATTTCATACTGAATTACAGGAAAAACAAGACACCTGAAAATTCCTGTCTTGATCTCTATGTGTATGATCAATTAAAACTAATATGGAAGAATAAATAAAAATGAGTAGGGATTTTAGTCCTGTCTTGGGTGAAAACTACATTTCATTAACAATTTCACCAGAAAATAAAATATTTTTGTAGGTGGGATGCTCAATCACTCACTTTCATTTTTGAAATTACTTAAAAAAAGGCACATTTATAATTTAAGATCATTGTTCAGTTTTACAACAAGATATCCATGAATACCTTAAACTATATTCTGGTGAGACAACCAAGATAACACTTGTTGACACTGAACCTTTCCCAAGGTACTAGCAAGTTGGTGAGATGTCCTTCTGGCCTAGGTTTAAAGGGTTCTTGTAAAAATACAGAATCCATAAGAAAGGATTGTCAGTTCACTATTTCGCAATATCAATTGTAAGAAAGGTGAAAAAGTCAGAAAGAGAGCACTTTTCGCCAGTGAATGAAAGTGATTTGTTCCATGGATGTATAGTGGTTTGTATGTCTGTAAATGTGACTTTTGTTTCCATGGTAGCTGAAGACCACAAGACCATTTCAAGGGCAATGAATGAAGGGGACCTTGTGAATTGAACTTTTCCACGAGAGAAGGAAGTTAGGGTGAAAAACTAAGTGTGTCCACAGTCTGCGAACATCCCCAAAGAACAAACAGCCATATCCAAGTATAAGCATAGGCTGGCTCACCCGAGAGCTCCCGTACCTGACTTGGCAGTGATCCAGAGTGACGACTCCGTACAAAAAGACGAACAATCCAATGAAGGCAGCTGGGAAGAGCATGCCGGTATACCAGCCCAACCAGGCAAAATATAACCCAATCTTCTCTCCAAAGTACCGCCTGTTAAAGACACAACAGCCTTGCAAATTACAGCACAGTGTGTAAAGTTAAGCATTATAACACTTTGGTCCATCCTTTTACTTTGTAGTGGCCTTACTGGTCAACTGCAGACAAGGCAAGCCTGGAGAATGGAACATTTGATCAAATCTGGGCTCTGGGCTTAAATTTCTACTCCTGCTACTCGACATCAGAACTAGAATTAGCCCTCCCATAAAAGAACAGGATTATCCACAAGCGTATTCTATGAACACAGAATGGATTGGAAGGGGGCAGAGTGGAGAAAAGGAAATCGAGTAGAAGACAACTGTCGTGGTCCAGGAGACAGGTGAAGGCAGTGGAGATGCTGGGATTTGGCCAGGTTTGAGAGATATGGAGGAGGTAAAATCTACAGGACAAGAACTGTTTAAGAGATGAGCTTTCCTAGATGCTCCACACCTTCATTCTCAAGGCTTGCTTGTGCTTCTCACCTGCTTCTTTTTGCCCAACGCAAATCCCACTGCTCTTCCAGGGCTCAGCTCTTGACTTCTATCCATCCTTTCCGTTTTTTCTGAATTCATGTAAAACTTATGGCCTCTGTCACACATTTTACAAAATCATGTGTGGTCTTGTGTTTTTTTCTAGTTGTCTCAAGTATGCAGGGCCTACGTTCCTAAGGGAAACTGAATTTCTCAAAGCCAGAGACTGTGGCTTCTGTTTGTCTTTGCCAATAGTATTTAGCACAGTACTAGAAACACAATGGACAGTTAATTAATGCTCATTGACTAATCACAAAATCAAAACACTGTCATGGACAGGAAATGCATTGCCTGCAGCAATTATCTGTAACTTTTAATCAATGTAATCCTGTAATATCACACTGAGGCTGGGAAGACAATTTCCTTTTATTTTATTTTTTCCCCACTGTTTATCATGTGTTGAGTCTGAACAAAAGAAAGTGATCCCATCTCAGAAAATATTTTCTATGCACCCAGATGATCTGGATCATTTGTTACCAACGCAAGGGTCACAATTCATCACTGTCCTTGCAATATCAGGAATAAATACCTGGTAACAAGGTAACAGGGGCTCTGGTAGGAAGACCACTACCCAAGGAGATAAAATATAAAGTGAGTTGTCTTTTTTCTTCCTTCCTTCTGGGATTATTTTTCAGGGCCCTGGTATAGGTGAAACATATCCAGTTACTCTAAGATATGAGGCATGACTTTCTCTTTATTCAGGAATCCATGAAGTATGGGTTGTTATTACCCAATCTCCACAACCAGAATTTAAAGAAACAATGAGATGTCAGAGCATAATACTGCCAAGGTAGATAGCTGGACAGATTCAGACAGTTAAAAAAACATATATTTTTACTGCATAATTATCATAAGTTAAAAGCTGATATACTTTCTGATATGTAGATAAAAATATCTTTAAAGGTTATTAGTTTTAAATAAAAACTAAAATAAGCATGATATTTACTGGAATGATAGTATCTCATATGCCCTATTTGCATTGATAGTAACTAATATTTCGTCAGTAATACATGTAAGCAGTGCTACCTTTTTACAAGACAATTTGTCAGTAACAGCCACATGGATGACCTACTCCTTACAGAGTCTCGTGGGAGGCCTGGCTGATCCTACGTGCCCCTTCCAGGGCCCCTTTCTAAGGCCCTTTAGGAGGAAACTCCATCCTCATCAGAGGGATGGCAGGTTTACCAAGAACAACCACTGTCCTCTGGTGAGTTGCTCTCTTGCGAAGGAGCCAGATCTGAGTGAGAGCTGTACACTTCAGACTCTTTCTGCTCTAACGATGGCTTGTCCCGGCTGTCAGTCTGCCCTAAGCATTCTGTGCAAGCTTTATATTTGCAACTGGTGAAAAACTCACCTTACAAGATCCAAAGGCTGGTATTTATACCACACACCCCAGGAAGCCCAGCACTCATAGAGTAGATGTCGGTGGTTCTCCGCTCCGTGGGTTCGAATGGAGTTTTTACTTCTGTAACTTCCCTGGGATAGAAACACCACTGCGAGTGAGGTGATACCCACAGAACCCTTAAGGTAATGGTGATACTAGTCCCTTACGGTAGGAGTAGGGGTGATATGAGGAAGAAATGAATCCTTTATGAGAGGGAAGGCAGTTTGTTGAGTTATTATGGATGTTGTCTTGCTGACGATGATGTCTAGTAAAAAGTTCATGCTTGCTAGAATCAAGCAGGTTTGAACTGAGTTCAAATTCAATTCTGCTACTTTTTAGCTAGGAGACCTTGGACAAGCCCCCTAAATGCTCTGATCCTTGGTTTTGCAATCCCAAATGGAATTAATAATATCTGCCTTATTAGGTTTCTTCTGTAGTTTGAATGAGTAAAGTGGCCCAAAGGCCATGCCCAAGCTCACTAGTTCTCTTCCCTACTTCTTTTAAGGCAGGGTAGTTGGTAAACAGCTATAGCAGTAACCTAGTCACATGGCCTTATCTACAAGAAAATCCTAGAATGGAAAATCTGGAAGTCACTTCTGAGTTCTAATAATTCAAATCTAATTCAACCTCTTCATTGAACAAAGGAGGAGACCAAGGGCCAGAGTGGTGGGTGTTTTCTGAGGTCAGTTTGTGGCATTGTTGGTCTCACAACCAGAAAAAGTACTTTCTGGAGTTCACATAAACCTGAAAAGCCCTTTCTTGATTGCAAGAACACAGGGGTGGGAGTAAAAAAAACTCAGGTTAGTCTAAGCTCAATCACTAACTCAGTGTGTGATATAGACAAGGTTTAACCTTTCTCTAAACCCCTATTTAAATTTTTAACATGAAACAAGGGCAACAATATCTGCCCTTCCTACCTTCCTGCCTCTGTAGGCTATTACGAAGTTAAATAATATAATTAAGTTAAACTGAGAGGAAAAAGTCAAAAGAACAATGATGCTATTATTGCTGCTGCTATTACTAATTTGAAATTTCTCTTCTTATAGAACATAGGGCATTTCTGAGATGGGAAAGTCATAGAGAAGGCCATGAGTTGGTTACTCTGGGGTTTCATAGCTGCATCTCCTCATTCCCACCCACCCACCTCCCCGCACAGATGCTTCTGCACCTGCCGTTGCTCCGACACTGTTGGTATCACGGCTGAGACTGGGACGGGGGAGGAGGCGGTTCTCACCAGCACCCTTTTCTGGGCAAGGCCAACTAATTGCTACAGGAAGCTACATGTTTTGGGGGGAAATCTCTCTAAAATTCAGAAACACCTGTCTGTGGCTCTAGCAAATGTTTACTTCTGTCATTAAAGGGAGTACTCTAAAAATGTTTCCTGGTAGTCTGGAAACGGTTTTAGATCACAGCTTCCAGTTTTCTTAATAAATAAGGTTTTAAAAGTCTACCTCACCTTTTACATCCTCTTGGTGTTTAAGATCAAGAGAAGAAACATTGTGAGCTAAACAAAAAGTATGTTTTGGAAAGACTTGCCAATTTAGAGAGTTGGAACTGTTCTCCAATTTGTCTATTTACAAGGTGTTATCATCGTTTCTGATAGAAGACTGTACTGAAGATGGCTCTCACAGTAGCTTCACCCTGGCTGGTTTGCGAAGTCTCAGAGGGCAGAGGCTATGACATTTATCTTTGTATTCTCTGTGTCATACGGTGACCAGAGTAGGGGCGCAATATCATGAAAACAACAGTAATCTCTCAACAATCATGGGGATTATGTTCCTGAAAACCCATGTGTAGGAGAATCCCAGGCTAAGCAATCCAAGATCTACTGGGGAAAATAGTTAAGGGTAGTCACAGCTACATGCATGAAAGTTGTTACATATGGCAAAGACCATGTAGTAAGTAAGGAGAATATCAACATTTATACATCTTAGGTGAACAATGAGTACAATACTATTAATTTCCATTTAATCACCCTTTGGTTACCAGAAACTTTGCAAGATTGCTTCCTCCCACTCTTTCAAGGAATAGCTATACATTTATTTGTTTCAAAGACTATATATTTCAAGAACATTTCCCCCCTGGGTCTGGTGTTTGATGCAAAGTTTCAATGCCTTTTTAATTTTAGTTCATGCTGAGTAACTCTTGGAAGAGACATAACAGTGCAAGTAGACTGCTCCTTAATTACCCACTGGACAAATTAAACTCATTTGGAACAAACGTCATATCAACAAATTCAATTAATGCCTATCCCTAGAAGCTGATTTCAGGAACAAGAAGTTGAGAAAAGGCTAAGGACTCAAGGCAGCACAATACCTCATGCAGGGGAAATGCAGCTTCATAGGAGCCATTGGTGAGCAAACGATTCAGACCTAAAACAACACATAAGTCCATGTGATTAATATCGAGTTTTAATCCTCACAATGTTCAAGACAAACGTAAGGGTGGTACTTTTTGAAGAAAACAACCTAGGCTTTCAAAAGTGATTCAGACCCACTTGGAGGCACCAACAGTTTAGAAGGAAAGCTTTTCTGTCTGCTAGGAAACTGGGATCAAGGGCCAGGAAATCAGCTTTTCTTCTCTCTCTCTTTTTTTTAACTTTAAAAATATCTAGTTGTCAAGCAAAGATTGAATATATTCAAGGTATTATCAAGGGAGTAGAGGTTTTATAAATGACAAGCATGGATAGAATTAATACAAACTTAATAAAACCAAGGGAAGAAGTCTGAAATCCCCAAATACCAAATGTAGTTTGCTATACTAACATACTACTTACCAATTTTGTTTTTTCCTTCTTCATACTTTATTCTTTGTAAAATATGATGCACAATTCTACTTCTTGTGGCGTTGTTGAAGAACGTGTCTTTGTTGTGTATGATGAAGCTGCACACACATATTAAAAATACAAGTTGAGAATTAATTGGAGGCAAGAGATCTAATCTTGGTTATAATTTGGTGTTGTTCAGATGCAGGTATCTTCAATCAGTCATAGAGAAGGTGCATCTGGAGCAGCATTAGAGATCCCAGAGATCACACTGGAGTAGGAGGCTCAAAAGTCTGAGTAGTTTTGGTTTTCAGAATCCTGAGCATTAACATCAGTATGTCAGGAAGGATCTGGAGCTAAATAAAACTAAGAAAACTTAAACTAACAGCAAGTATAGGTCTCGTATCTTGTTTTTTCTCAGTAAGGTCATTAGATAAGGTCAACTAAAATTTCATTTTGTTTTTATCTCCTCTAGTCTTCTATTCCATCCCCTGCCCTATCATGACTAAGTGGATTTTCAGAAATTTTAAGGCCTGAAACTGACTTGGGTGGTAGATACAGGAGTTAGCGAATGAGCTCTGGTCTGGCTCACAGGTGAGGTGAAAGGTCAGTCTTTGGAAATCACCTCTGTCCACCCTCTTTCCAATGTTCTTTCCTATATGGAAACATTTTTCTAAATCACACACTTAGGATTGCTTTCTCTCTCAGCCAGTGGCCCAGTTAAGTCTCTAAAGTTTGTCAAGGACAAGCATGCACACACACACACCCGTCCTTCCTGACACAGACACTGGGCTTTCCACTAGGTGTTCTTATCCTGCTCAGAGGTAACAGAGCTTCCAGGGCTACATAACTTAGCATAAAGTGGCTATGTCTTCCCTTCTTGGGAATGTGATAAATGGTAGAATATTAGAGACATTGTAAGCGTAATTGCTTCATTAATTGTAAAGTTTATCAACTCAGCAAACTTTTATTGCATACCTCCTATAAGTCACCTTATAGGAGTCACCTTCAGAAGTCAGAAGTCACCTTCTCCAGCAAGTCTCTCCACCCTTCCAACTGTACTCCTTTCCCCCAAAGAATTCACTACTCCCTTCTCTGTGCTATTTCTTATTTTGCAAGCATGTCAATTTACTGATCATTCTGTGTTGTCATCTATTTGTTCTTACTTGTTCATAAAATGTTTACACAGGCCACTCTGTAAGGTACTGATTATACAGTGGTAAGAAAAACAGATAAAACCCCTGTCCTTGAGAAGCTTACAGTCTAGTGAAGAGAGAGCATAAAGGAAATGAACATGATCGTGTGGCAGAGAAGGGCAGAATCAACCTCCTTTTGTGTGCCTTTTCTCACACCTGAGACTGTGAGCTCATTCAGGACAAAAGGCTGGATCAGAACTTCTGTAGCCCTAAGATCTAGTGAGTGGTGGGTACACAGGTGTGTGAGGGTCTTGTGTATTGGGGAAATTGCTATCAAATGTTTTTCTTCAAGAAGATGGATTCTCAGGAGTTGTTCAGAGAATAAGAGGAAGAGATAAACTTGGCCTAGAGAAAGTGTGGTCCAGGCAAGGAGTTTGGCTTAGAAATAGGCTTGGGAATGTGAATTTGGAATAACAGATAAAGGAGAGAAAGGTCACAGAATATGGAGATAAAAAGTAAATCATGTGAATTGATTTCTTGGAGAAGAATTTTCCTCCCACTTTTACTTCTCTTGGAGTCTCTTACAGAGTAATGCTCTTGGAGGAAAATAATTTGACTTGATGGATGAGAGATAAATACTTGTGGGTAAATGAGGAAGCTGCAGCCTTTATCTGATATTTTCTCTTGGGTTTTCTGAAAACATTTTATTTCATCAAAGAGGAAGAGGAGAAAACCAAGAGTCACATCAAATGTGATGCTCTGTATTTTACCCTTCTCTGCTTTTCCACCTTATTTGAGGCAGGCCATTACATTTTAATACCAAGTAAAGGTGTCATAAAGAAATAGGCAACAAATAAAAAGCCCATTTTGACTCACAATCTTAGATGATAACTGCAAGCTGATAAATACAACCATGCTTGACGGGAAAATTCAGGGCTAAAAGCCCATGTCTCTCCTCCATTAAATGGTTTTCTGCTTCCTTCTCTCTTTATAGCATGACATTACATTTTCTCAGAACACATAATAGTTCTCTATAATAAGCACCAAAGACAAGCTTCAAACTTTTGTTTCCTTTTTCCTTATATCTAGGCCATACATGGAGCCTGGAGATTCTATAGTGAGAACAAACATACAGGGCGTGTGTCATGCACTATTTTAACACTCTGAATACATTAATTCATTCATAATAACCCACAAGGTAAAGTAGTTATTGGCTCCATTTTACAGGTGAAGTATCAGAGAGGTTAAGTGATGTGCCCAAAGTCACTCAGCTAAAAAGAAGCAGAGCCAGGATTTGAACTCAGGCAGTCTGGCTGCAGAGGCCGCCCACACAGCCACTCCGCTTGCCTGCCTCCCTCTCTGTGGCAGCAACCTCCTGAATCCTGAATCCTACAGTCTCTTGTTTCCACTCATCCTTTGAATCTCAGCTCAGGCCATATCTCCCCCCAGGCTCCGATTTGACGCCCTCACTGTGAAATGTAGGGAAGGAAGCAGAACACCACTGAGTGCAGGAGGAGGAACATGGGCATTTAGCTCTGGGTGTGCTCAACATCACCTCTGCTTTCGCTAAAGACTCTGAGGTCCGACAGACCTCAGTGTGCACCCCAGCTTTGCCACTTACGAAGTAGGATTGGGGCCATCTCTCAACTTTTCTGGGCCTCAGTTTCCTCGTCTGTGAAATGGGGAGACCATTGTAACCACTCTCACAGGGTTTTTGTAGATTAGGGGAGATGACAGGCAGTGCTGAGCCCACTGGCTGGCATTTTAGAAGCTCTTACAGCTAGCTGTCAGCATTGCTATTGCTTTTACTACTTTATATCAAAATTGTCTGCCTTCATGCCCCACTTCTCCGTATGAGTTTTTTGAGGGCGGAGACCAGCTATGCTCATCTCCGAATTCCCAGCACCAGCAAAGGACTCAGCACATGACAAACCCTTAAAGGTGGCTCAAATGAACTGAGTTTTTGGAGAACACTGGCTAGCACTGGGGGCCGTGAGAACAAGTCTCATTTCCTTGCACCTTGGTCTCTACTCTTGCTTCTTGGAGATCTTTATAGCCACTCTATCTCTTCCAGCTGCCAGCTCAACCCTTCCCTCCACACTGCCTGTCTAAGGATCTTCTCGTGGCGTGTGGAGCCATCTCATTTTCTCTGTCACTGTTTCAAACTGGAGGATTATGAGAAGGAAGAGTGATGATTTCCTGTGTCATGACTTTTCACACTTTTCTTAGCCACAGACAACTTTCTCCAAATGAAATCTCTCTCTCTCTGACACACACACACACACACACACACACACACACACACACACACACAGAGTAAGCTGAGAAACTCTGGCAAAAGAAATTCTGTGATACCTGGGACTCAGTCTCTGAGCAGGGCTCTACGCTGCCTTAGAAACTAGGCTCCAGTCCCACATATTGCTTGGGGGATAGTGAACTGGTACAAACTCTACAGGGGCCATTTGACCAGGTCTATCAAAATTATGCATATATCCTCATTACATATAAAATATTGCAATATGCTGGGTCTTTTAACAAGTAAATATTATGCTTGTTCTGTGCAAAACAGTGTGCATCGAGGGTGTATATGTATGGAAGTGGTTAGAGAATATGAAGGGATGTATGTATTTTGAGATGGGGGAATATAAAGGTGAAAAGAATCTAGCTTCATTCCTCAGAGAAGCTTATATTCTTATTAGATAAAATGAGAAATGCACATTCAAAGGGATGAATTGGGGAAAGATACTCGTTAGTGCTAGGTCTAAAATTCACTTATTATAAAAGGTGCCATTTTTAAAACAGATAACTGATTTCTTTTTCAAACTTTTCTCTTAGACGACAGCTATCAGAATAAGACTATACTTTCTTCACAGATTCTTATAGCTGAGGGCAATGTTATATTAGTTTGAATTATCTAGACTCAAGCCCTGTTAGTAGAAATTTGTGAGATAATGAAAATGTTCTAATCTGAGCTATCTGATATGGAGCCCACTAGTTACATGTAGCTGTTGAGCATATGAACTGTGATTAGTAAAACTGAGAAAGTGAATTTTAATTTTATTTTATTTTTAACTGATTAAAATAAAATTTAAATAGCCACAGGTGGCTAGTGGCTAGCAGATACTGTATGGACAGCACAGATAAACAATTACCCATGTCATGGATGACATTTTGAGCATGTGGCAGAACCTACCCACAGCCTGCAGGATGGGATCTTCACACTGCAACACCCTTTGATTACAATAACTAAAAAAAAGAGTGGGTGAGGGGTGAGGAATAACCTACAGGACTATTTATGGGTTGCCAGAAGACCAGGTCCAATTCCCGTTCTTCTACTTTAGCTCTGTGGCCTCAAGGAAGTCATCGAGTTTCTTTGGAACACATTTACTTGTCAGAAAAATGAGGGTCATGTGCTTTAGTTGCCTGAGGACAGGTTAGGTAGTCATAAAGTGAGACTACAGAGTATCCAGGCAGGTCATCAAGGTAGGTCATCAAGCCTCACTGGTAGATGACTGAATTCCTATCCCCAACTGCCTATTTGATACCCCCCTTGATGTCTAAGAGACAATTGAAACCAAACATTTCCAAAACAGAACTTTGAATATACACCCATGTAAAAGAAAAATCTGTGTTTCTCTTAGTCTTTTAGACCTAACAACAACAACAACAACAACAAAATGTCATTCCTGTGCCACTTTCACAAGCCACAAACTTGGGAGGCATTGTTGACCCTCTTCGTCACATCCAACATCCGATCCATCAAGGTCTTTGGGTCTCTTGTCCCAAATGTTATCCTGAATCTCACCCTTTCTCTCCCTCCTACTTCGAAGTTGTTTCCAGGACTATTGCAATAGTCTCCTAACTGTTGTATCTAATTTCACTCACCCAGTTCATCCTCTATACTGCAACCACAATGACCTTTTAAAAAAATAAATCAAGTCTTATTCTTTTCAACTTAAAACTCTTAAGTGACTTCCATAGAT